TTAAACCATGTTGAAAAGAAAAGGATCCGATTAAATTGTTTCCCCCTCATTTACAGTGACGGAGTACATAGTGCGCACGGCTCTGGGGTTAATCAAGTTTAATTGTTTCTCTTTGCAACAATCTTCACATGAAGGCAAAATACTTAAATGGCAGGTCACAGATATTTCCTTTTGACTGTTTATTTTGACAGATAAACTCAAGGATGTTGGTTGTTTTGAAAGAATTACCCCGACGCACACTGATGCGCATGGATGAGCTGACATTTTAATCGTTACGCACATCGCAGAGGTAACTAAATCAAGAAATGATTCCCATCAGAACATCAGAGCTTCATACTGGACACTGTGTTCAGCGCGGCTCGGAGCGCCCATGGTGGACAGTGGGCTGAAGATCTGTAGAGGGGTTCGCAGCGCAGAACCACGGTGCATGCGGCAAGATTTCCTCCCACTGAAGCGGTCTGGAAACCCGGTCTCTCTGAGGGATGTGTCACTTGGAAAAATGTTCTCTGATTTTGAAACTTTGGCTGAATAGCGTTTGTTCACGTCTCTAATATGGAGACGCATCCAGTCTGAGGCAGAATAGCCTCTTCAGCTCAGAAAGCACCTGTAGAGACATTTGATCAGGCACAAAGTTTATGTTAAGTGAAACTGTTTAATTGTAACATTAATATTTTACTGGACACACTGGTCTGGTTGGTTAGTTTGAAGTGGAAAACACACACACACATACACACACACACACACACACACACACACACACACACACACACACACACACACACACACAGACCAATTAAAATAATGCTGATAGCGTGGACTAGAAAACAGGTGATGATTTATGTATTTAAATGATAATCAGGCTGCTGTAAAATGTAATCTCCATCCACATCCAGACAGAATTATCCTCTATTCTTTCTCAGTTTGCTCTGCTCTTGTCTGGGCTGACGTAGTTGACGGTGCGCGCGGCGCACCTAACTAGCGGCTGATGCACATTTTACGCATTTGGAGAGGTGGGCTGGATGCTTTGCTTTTACTGGAAGATGGTCCACTTAACGCACGGGTGTAGACTACATATTAATGACAAATGAATGAAAATTAAATTGTGAGTTTTTACTTCATATTTTAGAAATAAAAATGACGGGGGAACACATTTATGACGTCTTTTTAAACGAAATTTTCTAGAGTGACCTGCCTGCTTCACTAAGTCGCTGCTTATTAAGGTTCATCCAAAATTACCGTGGCCCACCCAAAAATGAAAAACTGGCGCCGTGCCAGTTATTAACCTCGCAAATGGTTGTTCTTCACTTTATCAAACTCAGACTTTGTACAGCTAATGTCAAGATGTAAAATTATTCAGTCGAGCTCTTCCGTCCCTCCCTCTCTTGCTCTCCTGGAAACCCGACATCGGCTGTCAGAAGAGGGAGGTGAAGAAGGAGAGGAGGCAAACAGAGTGAGTGCGAGGTAAAGAAACCAGACTGGTGTGGAGGTGAGCAAAACAGCTGGAAAAGTGTGGGTGTTGAATGATCTCAATAAGAAAAGTGTGTGTGTTGCATCCCCCCCATCCCCCACGGGTGCCCATGCGAGCGACTGCTACCGGCTGCTGTCACCTGTTGTGAGCAGCTCTCTGCTGTCTGAGGGTAGGCCCCGCCCACAACGCTGCGGCTACTGCGGCGTTTTCTTTACTGTGGGAAATGGGTAATAATGGCTCAATGATGGGAACAGTTTGCTGACCCCTGGTATAAGATCTGAGCTGGTAAAACAAAAATCCTCATCAGCAGACTTTTTTGAAAGTGGGGGGGGACACAGCTGCCAATCACAAATTTTGCCGGGGACATGTCCCCGGCGTCCCCGGTTAAAATTACGCCTATGGGGAGGAGCGTCTGGGGGTTCTTGTGAGGGATCTCCCAGGTTTGTGACACTGAGCTGCTGTTTTTGCTGAAACTGAGAATAAACTCAGCAGTTTTTATAATGTTAGAATGCTGCTCAGCGATGGCGATGACCATGCACGTGTATACAAGCACTAGATGGCTCACCCACTCTGTTCGCCAATGGAGTGTGACGTAGCAGCCTGGCGGCCATCTTACCTCAGGCAGCTGCCCCCTTTTGTAACATTGGTGCAAATCGTGCATGTACTATTTAAATAACTCTAACTTGCTTAATTTTCAGCAGATTTTCAAATGGTTTGAATGGTTGTAAACGCCAGAGATGTGTCTGTGAAGTATAACGGGTCTGGCTTGGAAAATCCCGTCATTTCACTCCATTATATGTCTTTTCTTATTTATCACTTTTTTTTAAATTCTGTCATGAAATGACTAAGAAGCTTTTTGTAAAAGCTTTCTAAAAAAATAGAAATAATCTAAAAGATAGATTAGGTTAATAAATTAGATGGATTACATTAATAAATACTATCTTTTTTGGAGGAGATATTCAGGTGTCAAGTTCAACAACATTCAGAATACCAGATAAACAAATGTATAGAAGAAGGCAGCAGCAATGGAACAATGGTGTTATACACATCTGTGGTGGTGATGGCCAGTCTGGTGTAACCGGTGTAAATCGTCCTTGTCCACACTGTCACTCTGCCAGTTAGCCTATCGATCATTTGCACTGTGTTTTCTTTGAAGAAAGGACGTGTTCAGAGCTGTTCCTATATTTAGGAATATTTCTACACACAAGTGCAAGATGGTGAATACCACACAATGTGTAAAGTTGTCCCTACGTATAAATACACACCGATCTGTGGTTGAAGACGAAGAGCTTGTTTTAGTTCTGGATAAAGAATCAGAACAGAATACATTTGGAAAAACGGGTGTTGAGACATCCAAGACAAGGGGACACTTTCTCTTTTCTGCATCCTTGAAGACATTTCACTTCTCATCCGAAAGGAAGAATAAAAAGTCTCGGGTTTGCTTTTCCTTTTAAACGGACCTAAGAGACAGTTTTCAAATGCAGCTCATCTGCTTTATGTTTCTTTGGTTAGAAAACCTCAGCAGAAATCAAACAACATATAATATTGATTTTCATTGTTTTCATGTTTTACATGAATCTGAGCTAATCTCAGCGTGTTTCCTAGATCTTAAAGGTTTTGAAAACCACACGAATGTTAGACCAATGGGAGACACACGGGGATGTTTTCACTGAAAGACCTGCTGTTAATTATTCTAGTTTCTCGAGGAAGAAGCCGATTTTACACTTTGGTTTGACAGAATTGATCATTTACTAATTTTTCATTCTGGAATTCTAAGAAACGGGTTTTGTTCCATTTCCTTCATCGCCATGAGAGATCACACGGTCGGCCGAGTTTCCTCTGGAGGAGAAAAACAAGCTCCAACAGGAACTCCATCAACACTCCATTAACCCATCAGTGTGTGTGTGTGTGTGTGTGTGTGTGTGTGTGTGTGTGTGTGTGTGTGTGTGAAAACTTCATCAGCAAAAACGATTAAACTGCATCCCTTTAAATTGAGCATCCCCTTTTTGAATAATCTGACATTTTGTTTTGTCCTCCTTTATTGTTTGATCACAACAAATTAGGAGATAATTTGTTGTGACTATTTTGTAAATAAAATTAAACATCCAGTACAAATATTAACAACAATTTACCAAATTAATATAAACATCTGGTTAGGCCTGGTTCACACAGTAAGATATTCATGCAGATATCTGACCCTTACTCTCCTTCTAACAATGACCCCCCCAAACACACACACACACACACACACACACACACACACACACACACACACACACACACACACACACACACACACACACACACTCATGATTACGGTAACAGCTCCAAATATAATCCCATCAGATATTCCTGCCGTGTGTGGTGTTTGGTCTGCTCAGAAGAACTTTGGGACCACCCAATCATAAATCTGGGATATTCAACAAGTTGCATTGTTTTGGTACAAATCTCTAAAAAAAAAAAAAAGAAACGTTTTAAATGTGATGTTTTGCCAGCAACAAGCGGTCTGCGGGTGGAAACCTGAGGTCAATGACACACGGGCCCCCAGAGCAGCGGCAAATTCCTTCCAGACCCTGGAAACAAACTGGGGACCGCGGTCCATGAGGATCTCCTTGGGAATCCCATGAAGACAGAACACATGATTTATCAGAAGCTGGGCAGTGATAGCAGATGAAGGAAAAGCCTTTAGGGGTACTAGGTGGCAAGCCTTGGAGAACCTGTCGACTATTGTTAGAATAGTGTTGAACCCACGAGAAACAGGCAAACCACAAACAAAGTCTAAGGCGATATGTGACCAAAGGTGAGACGGAATGGGAAGGGGACACAGTAATCCGGCAGGTGATTGGTCGTTACCTTTTTATCACTCAGAATCAACAAAGTCATCAAAACAGGATTTCTAATCATTTCATGTTGCCTGAGATGGAACCTGTGACTTTCATACAAACTGAACAGAAATTCTAAAAATCTGCTGTTTTAATGTAGAAAAGACTCCAATTTTAATGATGTTTTTATGTATTTGTAAATAAAGTTTGTTCTAATGACTATTTAAGTAAATACAAGTCCCCGTTGTTTCCTAACGATGTTTGTTTCTCCTTCATCTGATTCCAAAGCAGGAAGAAAACAAACAAAACTTGATTTTACATGTAAATTTGTTGGAATCTGCCAGAGTTTCTTTAAGCTTCAGCAGACGCAGCAGGTTTATTAACTGGTCAATATTTGTCTGAACAAGGTGATCAGATTATCTCAGCTCATTAGACTGTGTTTGTTTTAGTAAGTGCTGCAACGGGTCAGTCATACACACACACACACACACACACTGAGGCTTGTTTTCTGGAATCTCAGGACATTTAAACCTGTTTTATGAAAAACTTTTGTATATTTGTTGTTTTCTTTTGTCCGCGTTAGGGAGGTTTGTCTCCTCTAACAGGTAAACACGTTGTCGTGACAACGCTGGAGAGCTGACAGAAGGTGAGGGTGGCATTGTCTCTGTGGAGGAGGAGGAGGTGGTGGGGTATAAAAGCAGGAAACCCCCTTCAATCTGCCTCACACCAGCTGCCCTACTCCTCCCCAGACTCTACAGGTGAGTAGATCCTGACCAGGTCTGTGTTCAGCTCTTCTCCAGCATGGCGGCTCTGTGGTTCCAGTCCTTCTCTCTGCTGGTCTTACTGGTGGTTTCATGGCCCGGATCCCAGGCCGTTGCTCCTCCGCAGCACCTGTGTGGTTCTCACCTGGTGGATGCCCTCTATCTGGTCTGTGGGGACAGAGGGTTCTTCTACAACCCAAAGAGAGACGTGGACCCCCTGCTGGGTGAGACCTAAAGCCAGACCTCATTCAGACTTTAGATGACATTTTTATCTTTCATCTCACAAATAATAATAATTTATAAAACTCAGACATCTGGACCGCAGGTAAGCTGAAGATCTTCAGATTTTTGAAACATAAACAACATTTCATGTTTATTTGTAAACCTCTGCTCCTCCTGGTACTTGTTACTGGTTTTATTTGGCTTCTTTTTCAGGTCTGTACAGCCTTTGTCTTTATTTCTGCTCATTTTGCAACAAGTGCTGATCTCTAAAACTGGAGCTTCCCCTTTACTTTGGTCACTTTCTTCTTTTAACACACAAACTAATCAAAAAGCTCTCATTTTAATGACTATTTGTTGACTAATGTTCATATGATACATGACCCGCACTTGTATAGCGCCTCTCAGAGTAAGGACTCCAAAGCGCTTTACACTACAGTGTATCATTCATCCATTCACACACACACATTCACACACTGATGGTGATGAGCTACAATGTAGCCACAGCTGCCCTGGGGCGCACTGACAGAGGTGAGGCTGCTGAGAACAGGTGCCACTGGTCCCTCCGACCCCCACCAGCAGGTAAGGAGGGTGAAGTGCCTTGCCCAAGGACACAGCAGCAAATTTCCCTGGAGAGAGCTGGGATCCATCCTGTAGCCCTCCTATTCCTGGACTCCCTGATGCCCTTATATAACAACAATCAAACTTTCTACTATGGTTTATATGTCCTCCTGCAGTACTCATGTAGTACTCCACCAGAGGGCGGGTGGCATGCGGAGCACTTGATGCAGGAATGCACTAATCTTGTTAAGGAGGTAGAGATCTTTACCCAGCCAGCAGAATGTCTGGGCCCCATGGTGGCCCCACAGGGGTTTGCCCACATAGATTTTAAAGTCCCAGAAGTTGTTACACACACTGGTGTGTGGTAAAGTTTGTCCTCAACATCTGACCCATCGTCATGGGGCGTGGTGAGCTGCAGACACGGCCGCACTCCAGAACTATTTGGTAGTTTGGAGGATTTTCAAGAGGGACCAAAAGGTTTGATTCAGACATGGGCTCATCAAAATATTTGTGTATGCTAGCTGGGCTATTATTAAACATTAGATATGGCAACGTCACATTAATTAGTCAAACAACCAACGCATAACTTGACCTGTTCTGCCTCGTTGGCCCATCCAGGTTTCCTCTCTCCTAAGACCGGACCAGGACCAGTTCATGGCGGTGAGAATGAGGTGGCGGAGTTCGCCTTCAAGGACCAGATGGAGATGCTGGTTAAGAGAGGCATCGTTGAGCAGTGCTGCCACAGACCCTGCAACATCTTCGACCTGCAGAACTACTGCAACTGAGCATTGCGTTTAGCCAAGCCTCGTCACCTCCACGTGAAGGGGGCGGAGCTACACTCTTCCTAACCGGCTGCAGTCAGTGAAGAACTGACTGATGGATGAAGATATTTTTGCAAGAAAATAAAGATTAATGAATTGAGAACATTTCTGTTTTTGTTGAACAATTCACATTTTAATGTTTGTTTCCATCCTGAGAACAGGGCTCACTTGTTTTGCTGTAAAAATGTTTTATCATCATCATTTTAAAGGTTAGTTGGACCTCATTTGGTTTAGTAGATTTAGAAGTTCAAAATTAAACAATAGGAGTAAATCTAAACTGTAAAGTTAAACTCAGCCCCCTAAATAATCTAACAGGTCTAACTTAAAGAGATTAAAGTACTTTGGTGCTAGAGGATGAGGTCCTCCTCAGGAGATGCAGCGTCTTGGGACACTAAAAGATAAAGACACCCCCCCCCCCCAAAAAAAAAACCCAAACAATACACAAATAAAAACAAATTAAAGTTGTTTGTTTTGTGTGATGAAAACACATTTTACATGAAGTCAGGGTAAGACTTAAGGACCACAAAGTGAAAACAACTTTTCACCTTCAGGCTCCACTTTTAAATAAACTAAAATCCAGTAATCCTTTTGTGTGTGTGAGTGTGTGTGTGTGTGTGTGTCCTGTCTGGCTGTGAAGCAAACAGAATTGATGTCTGAATGCTGGTGACAAGCCTTAAGCCCCCTTCAGACAGGCCATGAAAAACAGAAATGTTCCGGATTCTGTCCGTAAGACCTTTGTGTCTGAATACAAACATCCGGATAACGTTTTCCGTAATTTAACCGGACAACGCCCTTAGTAACAGGTCCGGACTTGTCACGGACAGGGTGGCTGCTTCAGACTGGTGAGGTCGAGTTCTGGACAGGGAGGAGGGGGAGGAGGAGGGGACCGGGGGACGCTGTGCACACTAGTAATGTGTCGGTCGCGAACGAACCGGCTCTAAGAGCCGGCTCTTTGAAGTGAACGACGGGAGCCGGCTCGTCATTGGGAGCCGTCCCCTCCCCTCCCCCCTCCCCTTTTGCTTTGGTGAAAGCCACAGGCGATTGGTCAACATGTGTAACTGCGTGTCCAGACTGTCCACACACAGAGCAGTAGGGGCGGGGAAGAGGGAGGATCAGACTCAGACACACAGCAGAGCACATGCGGGTGGAGGGAGACGAGAGGGAATGAGGAGGAGGGAAAAGGCGAGAGAGAGAGAGAGAGAGAGAGAGAGAGAGAGAGAGAGAGGAGAGTGTGACAAAGACGGTGAGAAAATGAGCACCAGCAGTCATAAAGTGGAGATTTCTGAAAGTGTTCAGTTATTAAATCCATAGAAATGATAAATATTTGATATATAGCATTTTTTTACATTAGTAGCTCGCCTCCTACGGTACCATGTAGACGTGTGACGGAGCGCTTCCGTGATTCCTTTAACCATTGAGCTTCATCATCCAGGTCTCTCATGCGTCTTCGTGTGCGCAGAAATATGCTTAACATAAGTCTTATCAGTGAGAGGAATTCTATCTCTTCATCCGCCATGCAGAGGCGGTTCTAGACCAAATTTTCCAGGGGGGCCACAGTGGGGCCAGTATTTTTTCATGGGGACGCAAGAAAAAAAAGTTAATAATTAGGGCAATATCAAAATTGTTTTTTGTCTTTGCCATATGACTAATTTTGTGCTTGCACAATTTTGCCAAAGGAAATTTCTAGTACTGTGAAACTACTCACTTTTTTGTTCTCTTCTTTTTCATATCTATCTTTACTATATTTTGGGGATCAAATTTATCAAAAATTTTCCTTTACTTTTTTCATTTATGTTCTTTTACATCTGTATTTTACTAAAATAAGATTCAAATAAATTCATAGGTAAAGACAATGAACAAGTAAACTATTACAGCGAATGCAGTAATGGTTTACTTGTGAAAGTAAAACTGGCATGTTTTTATGGTACTCAGATAACAATTCTGAATGCTTCACCACAACATGAGACTTGAGTAAAAAAATAATTCTAGTTGATTATTATAGTTTGTGACTTTATTTGAAGATTTCATGTACTGTAAATATGAAAAATAAACATTCAAACAAATTAAATATGTGCACAATACAATTTCAGACAATTTTCAGACAATTTCAATTTTTGCCTTTCAGACTTTGCATGTACCAAAAAAAAACCTCCTCTCTCAGTTGCTTTTTTCCAGTTCCTATGTAAATCCACATGGTGAGTCAAACACACTTCCTGCACTACTTGGTGGGCTAAAATGTCTGCATGCATGACAATAAGTAGAGTCCATAGTAACAGAATATTCAACCCAAGGATGACTTTCATACCAGCTTGGCTGGAAGCTGCGTCTTCTGTCTCCTATTAATGTCACTGGAAATGTCCTCCAATGAGGCTGAGTAGGTGGGTCATCCTTGCACTTGCTGATATCTGAAAGAAAATAAATGTTAGCATGAGGATAAAAGTCATAATTAGTTAATTCAGAGTCTTATTTTATCTATTTATTAAATATAAACAACAGAAATGTTGGTCCAGAGTCAGCATGCCTCAAACGCATTTTACACACAATATGAGCTGAAATCACAGAGGGGTTGTTCAACACCCACAAGCCTGACGGTAGTGTACACGGTGCACATGACAGAAGATGTCCCTCTTTTTGCTCCTCACTCTCTCCCTCACAGCCTACATCTTCCTCCTCACTCTCAGGGTGGACAGCCTCTGACCTCTCTGGTTCCTCTCCAACCAACTCCTCCTTCTCTTTCATCCTGCTTCTCAGTTCCCTCGTGACTTTCATCCTCTCTCTGTCTACGCTGTTCTTTATAAACAGCGGTAAAAAAGGACAAAATGTCCCTTTTTCTTTTCATGGCCGCTGATGCTTCCAGTCAGTGCTGCGAGAAAGTAATAGATAAGTGAATACTGTAATCCAATCTCAACGTGTCTAAGGCTTAAAATGCAGCAACTTCATTTTTATTTTACAGTTAATGTTACAAAGGAAAAACAAATCAGTATTAACTGTGGATAGACTCAGTTAGGAACTTAAAAGTAAATGACAGAAATGCGCGACTACGATCAAAACACTGATGTCAGGAAAATAAACTGTATTGCTTACCTTCGTCTCTTAGCGTCTTTTCCGTTAGTCGTGCTCAAGAATTTCTTCGGGTCCTATTTAAACTATTTTTAATCTTTTATTCAAAAATCCACCGTGTAAACAGTTCTGAGTGTGCTGCGCTTTAAAGGCTCCATGTGAAACGCTGCAGCGCATTAGTTCCCGTCTCCGAGGCAGAGCGGGAAAAAAAATCCGATCTCTTCAGCACAGGGGCCATAACAGGGAACAGGGTCGGTTCTATAGGGGCCCAGGCCCCTGTTTAAAACCGCCAGTGAGCTAATAGCAGGCGGGGGTCTGAACATATGCAGCTTTCTTGTGTTGGACATGATGACGAACTGACAAAATTTGTGTCATGTTATTTAATAGTTTTTTATTCAAACTAACAAGTACAACAACAGTGTAGCTATTCTTTTCTATTTCTTAGTTAAATTATCATACTCAATGCTTCCAGGGCTCACTGCTGCCCTCTGCTGGTTCTGTCAGACTACAGTCATAGTCCAAACAGGTAACATGGAGCTCCAATGTCCCTAAACAGCTACTGTACTTTAAGATAGTGGATGGCCATGGAGGGTCGACCACAGTTTATGTATATAAAAATGTATAATTTCAAGTTGAGAGGAATATTTAGAATTGATGTTGGTGAGAAATGTTAGTGAAAAAGGCCAAGTTTGTGAACTGGAAACACAGGATTTGATAGTAAACAGGTAAAAAAAAATCACACACTGTGCCTTTAAGAAATTACATAAAGAATTATTTTTTTTCCCGATATAGAGGATCACTAATTTGTATATGTACTGTAGTGATGATATATATTAACGTTATCGTAATTGATGTTGATACTTTTGAGTTGTTGGGGTCTAGGGGTCCTCCCTAGATTTATTTCAGGGATGCAGAATTTAATCTATCAGCTAATAAATGATTTATGACTCTGAACAGGCGTTGCCAAAAACGTGATGTTCTAAAACACACATAATCTATGTTTAGAACATAAATTCACCTTTATTTTACCCCAAACCGAAATCATCAGGACGAGAGCTGAAATACCATCCAACCATAGAAGAAGCCTGCATTGTCTTTAACATACATTGCATGTATTGGGTCATGAAGGCTGTCAGGCTGATCAGGAGGGAGGCGCAGATGTACAGATGATATGTTGTCTGTGTTCTTTAACAGGACTTGGAAACCCTAAACAGTGCATGAAACAACCGTCATCTGGTGCCAGAAAAAAAGAACAATCCCTAAGTACTCATTAAAATGCATTTAAGACCCTCAACTGGTGCCAGAGCCGTCATCTGTCGTCGTCTTCCTCCGCTTATCCGGGTCCGGGTCGCGGGGGCAGCATCCCAACTTGGGAGCTCCAGAACGTCCTCTCCCCGGCCACCTCCACCAGCTCCTCCGGCAGGACCCCAAGGTGTTCCCAGTCCAGATTGGAGATGTAACCTCTCCAACGTGTTCTGGGTCGACCCGGGGGTCTCCTGCCGGCAGGACATGCCCGAAACACCTCCCCAGGGAGGCATCCAGGAGGCATCCTGACCAGATGCCCAAACCACCTCAGCTGACTCCTTTCGATCCGGAGGAGCAGCGGTTCTACTCCGAGTCCCTCCCGAATGTCCGATCTCCTCACCCGATCTCTAAGGCTGAGCCCGGCCACCCTACGGAGGAAACTCATTTTGGCCGCTTGCATCCGCGATCTCGTTCTTTCGGTCATTACCCAAAGCTCATGACCATAGGTGAAGATTGGGACGTAGATCGACCGATAAATCGAGAGCCTGGCTTTCTGGCTCAGCTCCCTCTTCACCACGACAAATCGGCTCAGCGTCTGCATCACTGCAGATGCTGAACCAATCCGCCTGTCGATCTCCCGATCCCTCCTACCCTCACTCGTGAACAAGACCTCGAGATAAAGCACTGCACAGCAGAAATAAACATAATTTTTTTTTTTAAATTGAAATAAAAAATAAAAACATATAAAACCATTTCAAAACCGATAAAAACATGCAGATAAAATCTAGGCGGGGTGGA